AATATGATGGCAGATTTCTGTTGGATGCTTAAAAGGAAAAACGAGCCAAAAACACAGAATTCAAGATAAGAGTTCGTTACAAAAGGAAAGACGATTAAATGAAACTTTATTTTTTATATGGAAACGATGATCACATCTTCGAATACCCTCATCTCTCTTTGTGGGCATCAAATGGCTGAAGTTCTATCTACCTCTGGGAAGTAATTTTCTAAATTTTGCACTGTATAAAAATATTGGAGGGTGAGAAAATAATTTTAACTCTGGATTCGACTGTTTTTTCTGCGATTTAAAAAATTTGGTATTAATATGCTCATTCCAACCAACATTGCCTTTAAGGGGTATACCCAGATACTTTTCTAATACTCTGATCACTTTAACAAGGTATGATTGGCGCTAAATTAATACAAACAGTCGTATCATATTTAAGAAAAATTATTAAGGAACCAATTGCCAAATACATATTACTTATTTGGAATTTCTTTTGAACCTGTGTTAGGTTACGAGCACTGATACATGAGCAATTTATTTATGATTATTGACAGTAGATCATCAGCGAAAGGAATGAACAATAAAGGTCCCAATACAAAGTCTTGAGGGACATTGCAATTAATTACACAGGTCAACATTTTATCTAGGCTCGTGCACGGGAATCGAAGATGGTATCCTAGGGCATTTGGGGTCGCTGATTACGATGAGCGGGTCGGTTAGGCTCCATCACGTCAAGTTCAGGGTCATTTGAAGGTCAAACGGTCAAAAAACCTTCCAAGAATCTGAAAAAATTCACGGACATGGTTTTGAGGCCGCTGAATCCGAATCCGGTGTTTATTTTTACTTTGCATGCGTTCTCGAGGTCATTTAAGGTCATCTCAAGGTCATTTGAGTTTTTTTAACGTGGATTCTACAGTCATTTTCCAAATAATCTTTTCTGGTATAAATCTCATTTATGCATAACATGGTAACAATCTCAATCTGCGAAATGCACAGTTGTGCCACAGAACTAGAATACCTGCCTTGAGAGGACCTTGAATGACCTCGAGAATTCATGCAAAGTAAAAATAAACACCGGATTCGGATTCAGCAAAAATTACAAATTGCGGTTATTTCCTCGCCTGCGCAATTTTCTATAAGTATACTTAAATTAATTTAAAAAGTGTATCATAAATAATGCAAGTGTCGGAGAAGAATCTATATAAAAAATGAATATTTCTAACTATAAAAGGAAATAAAAAATTTAAAATAAAAAAAAATTACATGAAAAAACGAAAGCTTTGTATTGGGTTTAGTTTGATTTTTCGACATGTTATTTTTTATTACGATAATTCTAATAACTTATAATAAAGCTGGTAGTAAGGCCTTTATTTTGATCCGTTAAAATATATTTTCGTTCATCAAGAGCTGGAGATAAAACTATTTGAAATTTAAAAATGTGAAAAATCATAAAACCGAAAAAACTTATATTTTTGATATGCTTTAATTTTAAGTTAATAAAAATTTGTATTATTGTTTGTGTTCATTATAATTAAAAATTAGTAATTCAAAGTCTTTGAGGAAGCATTCTGACAATTGAGTTGGCAGCGGTTTTTGAATTCAATTACTATTAAATAAATCTTTTAATTTAAAAATAAAATGTATAAAAGTACAAATTAAGTAATTAAGGTACAAAGTACCAAAAACAAAAAAACAAAATTCAATATACATGATATTAAATCAGTTATAAATCAGTTTCTTCCCTATGTATTCTAGCTTAATTCTTTCTCCTCCTTCTTCTTCTTCTTCTACCTTAGTCGGCTCAATTCAAGTAGATCATCCTTGCACTGTAGCGGTTAATTCAAATTATATAATATTTTTAATTTTTTAAATTTAAATATATTGTTCAGAAATACATATGGTCTATTGTGATAAAATACTCTACTCATTTACGAATAGGCACAAACGAGAAATTTGTGGCAATATTATATAATTTTTCTTTTTCTGATCATGACTCAAAAAATTATTAAAAATTATTTCTAATATGTGGGGACTTATGCCGAAATAGTTTATTATTAACTTTCATTAAATACATGAATTACTTATATTTATAAATTAAAAAATACGCTAAATGCAAGTAAGTATAAGTATTTCGAAAATTGCGCAGGCGATGAAATAAACTTTTTAAAAATTTTTACATACGACGCTACCTTGTGGCATTCATGCCACTCTTGAAAATGGCTTTTAATAATATTTTCTACTCGTGTACGAAACGGCATAAAGGAGAAAATTGTGGCAATTTTCTAGTATTTTTCTACTTTGTCGACCTGACTCGTATTAAAATTTAAAATAACATGAAAATCCAATGTGGACTTATGCCTACATTTATATGACTTTATAATGTAGTTTCCTACGTGCATGCAAAATGGGATAAGCGAAAAAGACGTAACAATTTTCATGAATTTTCTTGAACTGAACTTTTAAAAATTTTTTAGCATATAGTCCTCATCAGGGACTTATGGCCTTTAAAAAAATGAATACTTTCACTTTTTTCTTTGCATAAGCTTTAATTTATTCACGAGAAAAACGTTTACCAAAACGAAAAATTTTCCGCAGCTTTTCCAAAGCCCTATTTTCTTTAGTCCTTAGTAGCACTTATGTACTGAAACAAATGCGTTTTATTCTTTATTAGAATTCTATATACCATTATAAGACCATTGTATACTATATGTGACAGTTAAACAGGTGAATATTGGATATAAAACGCGTATTGCTAGCACAGTTGTATAGTGACTATAAACCTTATTCTTTATTAAATTATTGTATAACTAGTATACAACGTTTTTTATACCCTTTACGAAATAATAGCAATAACTGTTATTAAAGTGTTCCATATCGTTATTAGAACATCTAGTACTGGTTATAAGTTTTATAATAATAAATGTATTAAACTGTTGTATACTCTGTATGAGTTAAAAACATATGTCATTAAGTTTTCAGAAATTTTATTGGATAACTGTAATTACAAGCTAAGGTTCTAATGTAAACATACATAAAACATACTTTTAAGCATTAAAAATGATGACAAATCGCTCCCAAAACTGTCCAGTTTATTTTCTTAGCAACGATGCACCCGTATTTTCTTGTATTACATGAGAATTTGCACTATAACTCTTCCACCTTAAGAATGAAGCATCCCCAGAAAGGTTGAGCTTCTTTCCATATAATTTTATTTCCTCTGGTTGATTGACTTTATACCCATGCTCTTCTTTGTCACCGTTAACCTTCTGTTCCTCCATCTTATGTAAAACTTAACATCAGCGATTTCTAATAGGACCTACAAAATAATAATTTTTAAGATTTAGACAAGATTTACATTTGAAAAAACAAAACAATTACAAGCCATAAAACAGTTAGATACTTACATAATAATTTTCCATTTCACACAACGCGATATGATCATGTATCCCACAAAACATGTGCATATACTGTCCATTTTCATCAAACTAGACGTGTGTAAGTCGATGCACAGCGGACTGTCGGAAATTTTACGATTGTTGTATTTTCTCTTCTTGAGTAAAGATAATAAAGACGTTGTGGTTTTGTGTGTTTATTTTGACAATGATTGAACATGTATGGACAATAAAAGTGGACTGTATAAGATAGTTGAGTACCGTTCTGCTTCATGCATAGCATGCTACTGAAATCTTAGAAGGGATGAGCTCGTGCGGCGAACCCTAAATCAGCGGCTGGAATAGCCAGGTTTCTTATTGAGTCGGCGCACTTCGCTCTCGGGTCTGACATATGATTATTATTACAAGACTATGAATATAACTTAACAACGATCATAACCGATTATGCACCGAGAGGTGACGATCACTTAACCATTATAAGATGCGTTTTACACGTTAAAAACGGAAACATATTCAGTATAAGAACGAATAATTCTGTTAATACAATTGTTATATACAAATTCGGATACTGGTCTTTATACAACAAATCTTCCCTACTATACAACTGGAATATAAAGTCTATAACACCTAATAATGTATAAGTAATTCATTATAACCTTTATTTCATAGATGCATAAGGTGTATTAAGCACCTTCCAGTTAAACTGATTGAATAATGAGTATGGAGATGATTGCTTTTTTTTAATAAAAGTTGTATATTGGTTATAAAAGTTTTAATATGCGCTATACACATTATTCTAGATAAACAGTTTAATAAGCCCATTTCTTTCAGTGTGCCAATGTTTTTTATGAGCTTTTCGAATATAATAATGTCATATTTCTAATTAGCATTGATGAGAAATTGGTAGCCAAATAAAGATGTTTTTCACATTTTCTTACAAAGTTTTCCATTTTTAGGTTCCTTGCGACACTTATGCCAAAAAAATTTTGTGATAAAATCGATACTTCTATTCAACTTACGAACATGGCATAAGTGAGAAATACGTCGCTGTACACATTATTTTTTTGAAAAGGAAAATTGAATTTTCACAAAGGTGTCCCGCAGTCCATCTTTTAAATTTAGTTTATTGTACTTATCTCTCGGTTACCTTTCAGTACTCTCAGAGGCATAAACGAGAAAGACGTCGTCGAACTTCAGTCTAATATCTCCCGGTCTAATACAGTATACCGTGAAATTTAATAATTACGTGCAATGGTCCCCCATTAAACTATCGAGCATTGTACTAAACCTACTGTTAACTACCAATTAAAGCCATTCAAAGCACTGGAAAATTCGCCTATTCCAAAAAAAAAAAACAAGAAACTAAACGGTGGCTTTGTCACGCACCCGCAACCCGAAAAAAAAACAACCGGGAGACAAACCGTCCTTGCCAGGAAGCCGATGCCCGATCTCTCAGCCGAAAAACCTTTCCGGAACCGCCGGCGACCTTGGCGCCTTGGCTCCGGAGACACCGGACCGCGCCAGGTTGCGATTTCTAACACGGGGGGCGCCCCGTTTCGCGCGTGCAGACATAAGAGTTAGTGGCGGAGCGCAAGGTTTTATAAAGCCGGTGAACGCAAACAGCGAGTAGTAACCGCGGCGAAAATATAGGGCAGTGTTAAAGAGCGTTTGCTGTTGTTCGGACGTAGTGGAAGTCGCTCACGAGTGACTTGTGACAGATTATGATGGACTTGAGACTGCTGGCGATCGCTTCCGCGGCTCTGCTCTTCATCGTGGACACCGGCATTGCCGTCAGGGTCGGAACTAAGACGAAAGGTGAGTCTCGCGGGAGGATACCGAACCGCATGGATCGTTTTGGAGTATAAGTTTTGTGGTGTACAGTGCTACAGTGCTGCATTCTCACGAGGACTGTTCAGTGGTTCGATCTGTGGGATTTTGTTGTCTGTCTTGGCGGTAAAACTGACATTAGATCTTCAAATCCGTCAAGTAACCAATAAAATGACATTTGAACAAGGAAATTATAATGTTACGCGTTTGCGTGGAGCAGATTTAAAGATCTAACATCAATTTTACGTGTTGGATAGGTTTTGGATAGTAGGACGTAGCATTGATCTTACGAATTAATTCGCTGTAGAAAAATGTTCAAGGAGAAACAAAAATTTTACCTCAATAACGTTTAAAACGTGATATTTATCCTATTTCCAAGCAAGAAATCTATTTTTAACTCGCTTTCTTTTATTGTGATTACAAACACGTGTCATAAATAAAAGCTGAATCCATTTCAAAAGATTTCTATTATCTCAAGTTAATATTTAACTATTTTTTTCTCTATGTTCATTTATGTAAAGAATCAGTCAAAAGTAATAAAAAACGGACAAATGTAAAATAAACCACCATATCACGCACTTAACTAACATTTCCAAAATCAAACTGTTTGCGTTTCCAAAACTAACGGCTTTTAACGGTAGTATTGTTTTCCTTTTCCAAATTTTCGGCCGAACTCTATTTGTTCGTCTTCCCAAAACATGGCAAATTTTTAAACTCTAAAATTCTCAGTTTTGGTGAAGGAAAATACCATTCTTTAAAAAATTAAAAGAGACCGCGATTATTTTATTAAACAGCAAAAGTGTGAGTTAAATTTTTCGTTAACTTGGTTCCTTGTGGACTACAAAAAATATTGAAGGAAAAAGTGTTAATAGAATATTTATATCATATATCTCTAGCTATAAAAACACATAAACAAACAAAATTTAAAGCGACAAACCTGTTAGAAATATAAACATTATTATTAGTTTTAAAAACGAAAACATATCGATTCTTTATTTCTTAGGTATTTGTCTGTTTTTTTTTTCAATGCGATATTTTTAGTTAGGCAAGTTCCATAAAACTGATCTTTTTGGGGCAATAGGTTTTTTAATTAATGTTTAATGCTTTCTTTTCACAAGCAGAAAAATACTTAAATAAACTAATACTGAAATTTGAAAAATTTTGAATTTGGAAAATTATATAAAATAGATAAATAACAATAACGATAAAATTAATTCGATAAATACTATCACATTTTCATGACTATTGGGATATTTTTAAAGGATAAACAATTATAACAAAATTTTTACTGTAGTTAATTTTCTATTATAATCACAATTCATTCGCGGCACTTGCAATCATAAAAAACCAACCATAAATTAGCCTAACTTTCTAAGTTATTTTAATAATTGAAATTGATTCATCAGACCTAGAAACTAAAGTATAATTCATGCTGATGAAATAATTAATATCTAATTAAATTGCGATTGTCTTCACCTTGCTATTTATAAATCTCGGTGAGTTAAAAATATCGCAAACAGTGAATTCTTTATGTAAATTTTTATAGATATAGATCGAGAATTCCGTACAGTCCTTCATTAAATGTATGCAGTAATACGGGTTTTTTCTTTAATTTGCATACGTTTTAAAATTAACGCTGATAATTACACCAATTTCACATATACGAAGTATTCTGTTTTCAGCATATACACAGTGTATAAATATATATGTATCGACCTATAATATTAAATGAATTAAATAATACTTAGATAAAATTATTTTCCACACTTGAAATTTTGAAAAAATATCTCCCAGTAATATAAAACATGACAAATTTCTATTAAAAGAAAAAGTTAAGTGTTATATTTACATTTTAATTATAATTCTACATTATTTTTTTGTTTATAAAATACAACAAAATGTATGAATTGTGATCTAAATTCCAAATATAAATTTTAATGAGCAAATTCATTTCAAAGTGTAAGGCAAATTCTTTCATTACAGTTTCATAACTTGCTTCCATGCAAAATAATAAAACTAGACTTTTATTGTCTGGTATATAAATGTCTGATTCTTTAATGACTCAAACTGTTCAACCACACCTATAGCGTACCAGAAATTGTAATTATTGTAAACGATATCAAGGGTCCAACGTAATTGAATTACAATTGATTTCGTATCAATTCTTTCTTTCTTTAAATCCAAAGAAAACATAATTTCACATACGAATAACTAAAGCTATTATAACTCCAATATTACGATTAATTTCACTTAACAGCCCATTGTTTTTAGTAGGTACTGATAAATTATTTGTTGTGATATTCTGGAAATCCTTGGTCATATTTTGGCAATGACACGAAATCGTTTTGTGGCGGAAAATTTGTAGGCTAAGATAAAATAAATACTATTTTTCGATGTGCTTAAATAAAGAGATAATTTGTATGTATTTTAGATTTGTTGTTACAGTTAATACTTGGACATACAAATAAACGTTATTTGTTGTGCATTGTGAGCATGTTCAAATATTTAACATATTTTGAGGAATACATCGCGAAATATTTAGAAAATGGTGAAATATGTATGGAATTTTGCAAAAAAAGAGAGATATTGAATGGAATAACATTAAGGTTTAAACAACGCACGCATAAACATACTGAATATATTTCTAATGACACCTACAAGCAACTTTAAAAAATATATGGATATCTTGGAGATTTTAATTACTTAGCATTCGCAATAAGAGAAAATCATTTCAGGATTTTAAATATTGTGTAAAGATGACAGGCAGACAACTACTTTAAGGTGTACAAGGTATCCCACAAATATAATCACGTATTTAAGTCTTCAAAAGCAACAATTTTATATAGGCTGATATTGTTTTTCGAAAATTCACATTTTTGTCCCTAACTAGTTCCTACATTTTGTACTTCTCTTTGTTTATTATTAACTCGACTAAGCGTTTCAACTTATGCCCCAGTGCAGTGGAGAGTAATTAAAATTTTTAAATTTTCCAAAATTATGTTATCTTAAGAGCACCCTGTGCTCACAAAATTGTAATAGTAATAGTAAATCATTGGAACACACTAATTACTTCATCTCAAACTTGCGGCTTCAGCATATTTCGGAAAACAGTAAAAACAACAGAAATCGCAAGCTAATGTCTTTCACGAAATTGTCCCTATTGTCACATATTGGCATATCTGCAATTTTCGAAGGCAGCATTTTAAAGTTTCCTTACATTTTCAAATAGCTCCTCTAAAGAAAAATTTTTTTTTAATATGGGTGTTATCAGAAAAGCAATTTCGTATGTATGCTTTGAGAATACAGGGTGGTTCCGAGGTAATGGGCCAAAATTCATGGGTAGATTCCCGAAGCAAAAATATTGCGATTTAGCCGAACTTACATTAGTCCAAAAGTTGATAGTTAAAGAGATACAGGGTGTTAAATGTAAAATATTATTTTAGTTTATTTCGATTTATTTCTTAATAAATGCAAATATCTACACAAAATTTAGGGGTTTGGGGTTCTTTGGATAGAGGAATTGAAATTTGTTCACATTTTGGTTATAGTTCATAGAAGGCGCCAGCTGCCATAGATTGAAGGTGTTGAAAACGACATAACTTTTTTGTACTTAAAGGTATCTCACCTTTGGTATCAAATTGTTATTTTCCAACTTTTTTACACAAAAAAGGTAAACTTTGCTAATAGTTGAAATAATTAAAATAATTTAGAAATGTCAAAAACAAGGGTTTATTTAGAATTAAATATTGTAATGCACAGTAAAATAGTAAATATTAGTAAAAAAAATATGCCTTTTTGACAATAATTGCTCAAAATGTCCACCTCTAACTTCAATACATTTATCAACACGTTTATTAAAAGATTGTCTTATTTTAAAGTCCTTAATGCGAAATGACTTTGCAGCATTTAAAACCTGCTACTAAAGTTCTTCTCAAGTGTTTATAGTTTCTCCATAAACAACTGATTTCATGTAACTCCAAAAACGAAAACCTCGGCATTCTATCTCACATTTATGCATACGAGTATACAATTTAATTTGTAAGCTAAGATGTAATTTTAATTAGATACGAATAATACTTAATAGAAATTAGCATACAAATGACAGGAATCAGACAAGTGGAAGACGTCAATTAATTGATTTGCGTCCAAATCCTACTTAAGAAACTTTACGGCTAAATTAATAATACCTATAGGTACTTAATTTTAATTTAATGCAACATCATTGGAAGTTTCAAAGCCAAATATCTCGAAAACGGTGCGAGATAGCTACTTTAATAAAGTATACCATTTTTGTGCAAAAAAAGTTGAAAAATAAGAATTTGTTGCCAAAGATGAGATACCTTAAAGTACAAAAAAGTTATGTCGTTTTCAACACATTCAATCTACGAACTAACACAAATGTTGTCTTGATTAACCATAACACAGATGCTTCACCATAACATAAATGTTGTCTTGCTTCACCATAACGTACACACGTAGTCATTTTTGTCACTTGAAAAACTAATGTAAACACTATCGCAAAAGTGTTAATATGTATTAAAATCGGATTTCAGTAGTGCAGAGACAGCGCATTGCGCTCAGCGTGAATAACACTAGAGATTACAGCAGCGCAGCAATGTAAAGGTTGAAAATACTAAAACTTCAATAATTTTTTCTCAGAAACTATAAGAATTTTACAAAAAATTTTTTTTACGATATTGACTCTATTTTTCATGACGCATCTAATCCCAATTTGTTTTAATAAGTTGTGAATCACCCTGTATAATTAATAACTTTATAAACAAATATCATAGAATACATATTACGACGTGATTTCAAAGACTTACAGTTAAACATGCCCAGAAGAATATTATGAGAAAATACGATGTTCTATTCGTTGAGTTCTAAAGTACAGTAAAATATATTTTAAGAATTTTCTTTGAAAGTTATTGTTATAGACTGCAATCGCAGTATCTCGAGCGTAGGCGTAACGGTTTGTTATTGTTCAT